AAGCATGACCCCCGGGGGTAGGGCGGGGCCACAATAGGGAATCCAAGTTTTACATAGAAATATATAGAACAAATCTTTAAAAATCTTCTTCTCAAGAACCACTTTCCAGGAAATGAAACTTATGTGGAAGCATCCTTGGGTAGTGTAGATATTAAATTGTTAAAATCAGTTTTGTTTTACATAGAAATATATAGATCTTTAAAAATATAACTTGGCACAAAAGTAGACTACAGGGCCACAATAAGTTACATAATATATAGTCTTTATCGGTTTTTGATATTAAATTATTAAAAGCATGACCCCCGAACGGTGTTGGCGTATATAGTTACTTCTTCTCAAAAATAGAAATTTCTGTAGTGTAAATTCTTTAGGGAATCCAAAATAGAAATATATAGCAAATCTTTAAAAATCTTCTTCTACAGTTTTGGTCCTTTGAATGCAATATAAATTGTTAAAATCTTGGCACACAAGTAAACTATATAGAACACTTTAAAAATCTTTTTCTCAAGAACCACTGAGCCAGGAAAGCTAATTCTGTGGAAGCATCCTTGGTTTTTTAAATTGTTAAAATCATGACCCCCGAACGATGTTGGAATCCAAGTTGTTACATAAAAATATATAATTTCTGTTCTTAAGAAATTGGCCAGGAAAGCTCTTAGGTTGTAGATATTAAATTATTAAAAATGCTACTATATAGAACAAATCTTTAAAAATCTTCTTCTACAGTTTTGGTCTGATTTCAATATAACTTGGCACACAAGTATATAGAAATCTTTACACTAAGGTACATAATTCTTTATATCCGTTTTTGACTAGAAATATATAGAACAAATCTTTAAATTTTTACCTTGGTTAATAAAGATAGCAATTTCTGTTACTCTCAAAATGCTAAACTTAGGTCAAATACAGTTTTAGTCTGATTATAATATAATGTTACATAGAAATATATAGAACAAATCTTTAAAAATCTTCTTTTCAAGAACATAAAGAAACTAATTCAAGGATCATTATTCTCTTGTTAAAATCATGACCCCCGGGAGTAGCTAGTGTCCAAGTTTTACATAGAAATATATAGAACCTTTAAAAATCTTCTTAAGTACTTTCCTCTTCCTTTGCTATAAGTACAAACCAGTAGAGCTTCAGTCTTGACAGAGACTTCTGGTTTAATGAAATACATAAAATAAAAATTAATTTTAGGTTTTGAATAACTCAATGAAAATCTGCTGCAACATTAAAACACCCCTCCATACGTCCCAATGAAAGGAAGCCAATGTTGTGACACACGTGCGCTGGTCAAATGATAATTACCTATCAACACCCCTCCGGGCAATTAATTGTCTACCAACTCCAAAGCAATGTTTTTACAGTTACAGACTGATTATTTACTGTCCTGTTAATTGCTTTGATTATTTATCTATTATTAAACAATTAAACACTTGTTAAATGTAATTTTACCTTATCTTATACTTATCGGCCTCTTGTTTAAATGATTGAGAGTTGACAAATGAAATATGAATTATGCTAAAACTTAAGTGTTATCATTTATTCGTGCTCTTTAGAAATTCAGATATCCGCGAAGATTCAGAAGAGTAAAATCGTAGTCTTCTTAATGAAATAAATACTTTTATGTTTCAATTTTGTGTCCTGTTAAAGTATTGTAACATAATTTTCAGCATGATTGCCTAGAACCAAAATTAAATATGACAACTGTTAAAACTTTCAACAATATCTCTTACTTTGTTGAAATAAAATTATTTCATCTAAGAATATGGCGACGCATAATTTCAAAATCACTGTAACTCTGCTTAAAAAAATTCTATCTACTTTTACGCAACATTATCGTGTGCTTTGTTGAAATAAATGAATAAATAATTTTCTTCAGATTGCCGCGATATGGAATGTCAGGATTAAGAGAAAGTTATAAAGTGTGCATTTTAAAAAAGTGTGCTCCGTAAATTTTTGACACTTAATCCTCGCGCCGATTTTCGTAACAAATTACCGCGATTTTCAAAGTTCAGAACATTGCTTGGTAAATTTATCTGTTGCGTATAATACATCCAAACTGCGTTTTTTTTCCCCAGTTTCAGACTCAAAAAGGGGGGTGCGTATTTTACATCAATGCGTATTATACTCGGCCAAATACGGTACTATTTAATATCTTCATTATTTATCCATTAAATCAGGGCGTGTAAACTTAGTTGAACTTTTGCTGCTATTCTCTCAAGAAGGTACTTTAACAAGTGCATTGTGGGTCCAGAGTTGCTGAGGAAAAAATTCTGATGAACGAATGTGCAGTAGTTTGAATTTTGTCTTCGCCCAGGCGTTGCTTTAAGAGCTTGCAGTGACAAGCGTCACTTCACAACGATCATTGCACTCGCTATTAATTGCATTATGGAAAATATAATGTGTTTTTACTATTTACTTTAAAGCCTTTTTTTTTCTTTACAGTTAAACTTGCCTTTGATGATGACATCAAGCTAGAAAGAGACCAGAAATCCTTGTTAGTAGTAAATCAATACCTTTTAAGAATTAGATCAATTGAGTAGTGTTGAAATCCCCCTCCACAATATGTTAGGTATCACAATACTTGGGTCACAATTCAATTTTTTTCAATCTGATAATGTGTACTCTGATATCAAAAGGCAACAAGGATTGCAAAAAAGTGGGAAATACTAATATTTCCAAGGACTGTGAGAAATACTAGTAATTCCCAGGAATTACTGGTATTTCCCAGGAAATACTGGGAAATAAGAAAGAGATACATATTTCTAACTTTAATCATCTTGTTTGAGTATAGACATGAAGTAAATCTTATTGTCTAAGTTATCAACCTAGTATTACTTTTCATGATAGAAAAAATGATTTCCAAATATTTAATTTTATTATACAAATATGGACTCAATGTAGGTCAATATGCATTTACAATGACCCAGGATGACAGATATTGGCCGAAGATACATGTAGTATATAGACCGAGGGCGCTAGCCCGAGGTCGATATACTTCATGTATCTGAGGTCAATATCTGTCATCCTGGGTCATTATAAATGCATATTGACCGTGCATTGAGTCCATATTTATTATATTATATAAATAATAATTTCCCAAATTTATTAGTGCAATGTATATCATCCTATTATTTACAGAGATAGTATTAACCATAAATAAGTTGAATGTAAATGTTTCAGAATTCATTGAATATTACTCAGAGGAAATTGTTTCTGCAATAAATTTCCCATATCATAATAATGACACAAGATATCTATCTCCGAATAACCGCGACACAGAGTAACCCCTCCCCCAGATTGAGAATCGCTCTCGTTTACACTTGCAGACGAAATGCACTGACAAAATAGATATCCTATGTCTTCTAAGAACAGATACAATCTTACATGGCATGCTTGTCTATATTTTCTTTAGTCTTCGTAATCGCGTAAACAGCGTTAAAACTCTGCTCGCCGAGTTGAAATGTCGAACTCAATCATGAAATGGTATGTGCGTATTATTCCTATTCACAAATATCCTAGTAATTGTTTTGTATTATCTTTTCACTATATGTTTTAAATTTTCCTCATCTACAACTTGCGAACTTCCATGTTTGTCTAAAAACGAGGCAGCTGTGCGAGTCATTATTCGCTTTCAGCGGTCGTTATTAAAAAATAAGTACTTATTGACCAATCAGATTTTTCACAAAGTTATATAATATTAATTAATAATTTTAAAACAGTATACGTATACTTGTATACCAGTCAATAAAATGAACATATAGGTATCCAATTTGGATTTTTTATGTAAATAAAGAAGGATCAAAGAAAATTGTAATGTGTAGAATGTAGTGTAATACCAAACCTAAGAAGAATCCTTTCAGTTCTACTCAAGGTAATTATATCTCTCACATAGGAGCACAAAACTGTCCAGAGTCAATTTTTTAAAACAACATAATTGATAGTAATTAATGCTGTGTGAAAGAAAGTTTAAAACAAGTTTATCATGTTTATTATTTTCTTGCATTTATAATTTAATAAACTTCAAAATTATACTAAACCGAAAAGACACTTGAATCGGAAAACTTCAGTTTTGTTCTTAAGATACAATGAGGGAAACATGTTCTGCTACAGAATGCATAATTATGGGTAGGGGGCCTATTTTAGTGAGATACATGTACTTAGTATTTTAAATTGCAGACATATCAATTTTATTAATCTTAAGTTTTTTTTTATGTTCACTTTTAATATTTCTGAATTTTGTGTAGGGTTAAATTAATTACAAGAAAATAAAAATCTAAAATTTTGTATCTCCCAGTATTTCCCAGTTTGAGTAAAATTTGTAGTATTTACTGGGACAGGAAATACAGGTATTTACCTCTGGTAATTCTCACCACTGGTATTTCCAGCCAACCCTGAAAGGCAAGTAAAAGGTGGTGATACAATAAAGAGCATTAATGATTAAAAGAATATTTTGTTCATGTCAATACTAGAAGTGACAGTCTGCTCTGAAACTTTCTTCCTCACCATTTTGGATTTTTAGGTGACCTGAGTGACTCAGGTAATGTATTGCTATCTGTTTTCATCTGTCATTGTTCGTCATCAATCATAAAACTTTTGAACATTTTTATCTTCTTTGCTGGAACCACTGTACCAATTTCAACCAAAATTGGAATAAAGCATCTGTGGGTGAAAATAAAGCATATACGTTGAAAAATATATCAATTACTGTATAGGGGAAAAATAACTCGCAGTGTTAATGTTAGCTTTATTCATGGTGTAGATCAATCCTTGAATTCAAGAAACGGTGAATAAATTTTCAATAATCTCCATGTTTTATTTGGAAATTTGAAAATAGACAACGATAGGTTTATATACATGTAGTACATGGTCATCTCAGCCTATAGTAATTATGAGTATTACTTGTCAATCAGTTATTTTATTTATCATGCTTTACTTTAATTCTAATCAGCAGATAATAACCTGTTTTTGTTCAAAAGCTGTTTTAATAGGCAACGCTACGTTTCATCAATCAAAACATGGGCCATATGGGTTTTGATTACCTATGCGTAACTAATTCTTACCTGCATTATCATGCATATATTAGTTTTTAGCTCTTCTGAGCCAAAGGCTCAAAGAGCTAATGCTATGGCCATTTGTGCGGTGTGCGTCGTGCGGTGTGCGGTGTGCGTTAACTTTTTAGAAAATGGGCCATAACTCAAGAACGCCTTGGCCAATCAGTGTCAAATTTGTCACAGGGTATCCTTGGCCCAAGGGCTACCATTTGTACTAAAATAAGGGTTGGGACCCTTATACAAGGGGAGATAATCAGGAAAACAAAACCAAAAGTACTGGTTGCTAAAAAATCTTCTTCTCCAGAACCACCGGGCAGATTTTCACCAAACTTACACACAAGGATTAGAATATGTTGAAGATTAAAAATTGTTCAAGGCATGACCCTGGGGCAAAGGGCGTGGTCTCAAGGTCACTTCAAAGTTGACCTAAATTTACAATTGATAAAAACATTTATATTTTGCTTACTATAAGGACTAGGATCATCAAATCTTGTAAGTTGATGCATCTTAAGACTTCACATCATGTTAAATCAAAAGTAGGTCACAGTGACCTACTTTTTTAATTTTGCGGGCATTTGTTTTCAAATTGATTTGAAGGCATATTTTGGACACTTTAAGGCCTATGATCATCAAACTTTGTAAGTTGATGCATCTTGGGTCCTTGAACAACGTCAACTTAAAAGTAGGTCACCTTGACCTACTTTTTGAACTTGATGACTTATCCTTTTTAAAACATTTAATCCCATTATTGCAGACACTGAGAGGGTTAGAATCATCAAATCTTGTAAATTGCTGCATCTTGGGACCTTAAAATATATTTATGAAAAAGTAGGTCACTGTGACCTACTTTTTGAATTTGCAGGCATATGTTTTCATATTGTTTAAAAGGCATATTTTGATTACCTTCAGACCTACGATCATCAAACTTGGTCAGCAGATGCATCTTCGGACTTTGAAAAATGTTGACTAAAATGTAGGTCACGGTGACCTACTTTTGACATTTTATGGCTTTATTTAAGTATCATCGGTATTTATTGGCTAAGAATCATCAAACTTTGTGAGTTGATGCATCCTGGGTTTTCGGAGAGTGACGACCAAAAAGTAGGTCACGGTGACCTACTTTTGACATTTTATAGCTTTATTTAAGTATCTTAGGTATTAATAAGCTTAGAATCATCAAACTTTGTGAGTTGATGCATCTTGGGTTTTCGGAGAGTGATGACCAAAAAGTAGGTCATGGTGACCTACTTTTGACATTTTATAGCTTTATTTAAGTATCTTAGGTATTTATAAGCTTAGAATCATCAAACTTTGTGGGTTGATGCATCTTGGGTTTTCGGAGAGTGATGACCAAAAAGTAGGTCATGGTGACCTACTTTTGAATATCTCGGATACATATTGGCTGAGAATCATTAAACTTTGTCAGTTGATGTATTTTGGCTTTCGAAAATCACCTACTAAAAGTTAGGTCACAGTGACCTACTTTTAACATTTCATGGCTATAATTAAGTATCTCCAGTTCTTATTGGCTTGGAATAATCAAACTTTGTCAGTTGATGCATTTTGGTTTTTCCAAGAATGTAGATGAAAAAGTAGGTCAAAGTGACTTACTTTTGACTATCTCACATATTTATTGGCTTAGAATCTTCAATCTTTGTCTATTAATGCATCTTGAGTCCTCAGAAAACTTCAATCTTAAAGTAGGTCATTGTGACCTACGTATGTTTTTTTTTTTATAGCTTTGTTAAAATATCTTCAGTTATAATTGGTTAAGAATCATCAAACTTTGTCAGTTGATGCAACTTGGCTCTTAGAATACTTAGGGTTAGAGGCTTCAAATAGAAGTGATAGGTTGTACAATTTATCAGAAGAGCGATTCAAGGCCCTTGGGCCTCTTGTTATTGACATTTTGGTTTTAGAAAATTTTTCAAATATCTATCAAATTACTGAAGATGTAGAAGGATATTATTTCGTCGACCTACTTTACACATTTACCGTTTAGGCCAAAAAAAATTAATCAATAGTTTCTCAGGCACCGCCGCATCAGTTCAAAAACGGCCACATTGATCAATTTTATTGACATATTGAAAAGGGAAATAACTCAATTTTCTATTTTTCCAAGTTGAAAAAGAAAATCGAGTTATTCCCCTTTTCATAAATGCTAAGAAAGACGTTTTTATTAGAAAAACAATATATTTCTTCTAAATCTAAAGTATTTTATCAGTTAACTTTTAAATAAATGTTTGGAATAACATAATTCAACATTGAATACATATTATAGCTAATTTCAGAGAACAAAACTTAAGAATTAGTAGATATTATCATTTTATTGCACAAATGACTTACAAAGAAAGGTGTAAAACTTGCTTCCAAAAAAAAAAGGAAAAAAAAGAAGCCTGCCTGCCGCATTGAATTTTGAATTTTTTGGCCTGAGAAACTATTA